ATGTTTGTTGTGTGGATCCAGTTGGCTGGAATTACTGGGACAATTTACTTCTCAGAAGCATAAAATACTCTGCTCCACAATGGAAAGACTTGTTGGGCAGATTCTTACAACTGAAAGGTAAACATTTCAAGATTTGATCACGGTAATATCTTTCCTCTTCTGAGCACAGATCACAGCAGGCTGGCCTGTCCTCTCTTTTTAAAAAGGCCTGGGTTCTGTAGAGGTTCTTCAGAAATCACTTAAATGCTATTTCAATGATCTCCCCCGCAATCAGAGTGTTAAAAGGAAACAAGTATCTGAAGGGTCACATGAGAAAACCTTCCCCATGCATAAAACTCCTCCTTCCTGAGGTAGCAATACTAATGACTGATCTTTGGAATCACTCTATATTCATATTTGTATTTTGTCCTGCCTTAAAGCAGTTTGTTTTGGTAGCAGTTAGGTGGTCAGGAAGCCATAGGAGGTACACGTCATTGATGGTGAGAGCTCTTATACGAGCTCTTTAATAAAGCCAAGGTGAAAAATCATCCTAATTTTTGTGTAATGTATTTTCTCATTTTTACTTAAATTAGACTATTCACCTATTTGTATTTCCCTTTAAACATTATTTAAGTATTGGTAACACTAAGACACATACGCTGTGCAGATGTCTTAGAAAGTCCTCATTCTGCGTTGCTGAGATTAAGCCAGTTAAGGTATGCCCTCAGGTTGCACGTTTTCTGTAGAGAGAGGTTTAAGGAAAAGGCCTTCTTACAATGGATGTTACTAACTAGGTTTCTGCTAACCAGATCAAGCTGTGTTATGATTTGGCAAAAAACAGACTCACTCATATGAGTGACAACATATTTTTCTAGCGCACAAACAGCCGTTGCTGCTGCTTTGAGAAATGCTCTCACAATAGAAAGGCAGATATTTAGTGTATGAACGCGTACATATTTGCTCAGTGTTGCTCAATAGTGAAAGTGTCCTATTCTTCTTTTAGTAGGTTTGTTTGAAAAGGACTCTGAGGGGCAGGAGAAGTCATCAAATCCACTTTAATTTTTTTTAATTCTCCAGAATACATGTTGGTAGAGTCTTCACTGATTAGCGAAGATGCTTCATTGGCTTAGCTTAAGTTTGACGGTCTACCTTGTGGATACATAAGCTGGATATGGAGCTCCGTTCAGATATGCAATTGATTTACTGATTCACATGAGTCCTTAAGCTCCATTTGAATTGTGAGTCATTAATTCACCAATGAAGGATAATGATTAAGCAATGATAATGATCTTTTGACGTCATAGTTGGGAAGAGGTTCCGAGAGGAAAAATGAAATTAGATGAATGATCTGATAGTAGAGACTAAATTGCCTTTCACCACACTGCAGGTGAGATCTGAAAGAAGTTTGAGTCAGCTCAGTGCCTTTCTGGTATACTTTCAAAATTGTTGATTGTAATGTGCTATAGTCAATGAAATTACATCAGCAGATTCAGAAATATTTAATAGTGTACGTAAAGAAGTCTTCTTTGGACAAAAGAAATTTATCAGTATGACACATGGAGCTCTTGTTTCCCTAGTTTGTCTTGAAAGCTGCTTCTGAGGGATTCACGATACTGATGGCAGATTGTAATATGTGAAGATCGCTTTTTTCCCCCTGCTTTTATTAGCTTGCTCAGGAAAATGCATTTGAACATTAAATAAGAACTTGGTTGCTATGTGTAGTCCCTATAGCCTCTTGACTGATGGCTCTGCTGCTTCAAATTGACTTGAACTGTGTCCGCTACTAAGGGACTGGAATTACTGAGGAGTTCTTCTAGGAACCATTATGTTTCTGTTAGGAAGTGTTATGTGAGTCTGAGGTATGTGATGGCCTAGATTTCTTACAGTTTCAAGAACAAGAGGGAAGCTTCAAGAACAAGAGGCAAGCTTTAGAAAGTTCACCCTGGATATGGGAGAACTACACTATGAAATGGGCTGACCACTGTTCATAGCAAGTGATGCTACTGCTTCTGAGTAGTGATAAAGCTGTGAAAGTCAATAATGCAATTTATCACTTGGAAAGCTTTTCTGATTGTGATTTAGCAGCCACAGAGGTTCTGTATATTGAAAAGGAGGCATTTCAAAGAAAGATACCATAAAGACTCTGGCTTTAAATGTTTCTCTAACTTTTAAGGCCCGTCTCCTCTCTCAATGGCGTCGACATCTGCCAATAGCATAGTGTCACCTACAAGCACTCATGCAGTGTTTGAATGGCTTGAAATACATGCCCTTTGCACCAGGCCGCTAAATCTCTGCATGGTTCCTACTGCCACCATATGAGATCAAATACTGCATCACTGAGGCCTTTCTGCACTTCACAAATGTGACCCCTGCTGTGTGAGGAATGCTAAGTTTCCTCTTCCTTTAAAGGCAAAGAGGCCCTACCTAACTTTGTCCATCCAAGTTTCCATGGTTTCTCACATACGAAAAAGGTCATCACTGGTGGGATGAAGTATAGCCAATCTGAAATGAATCCACCTCATAGTATCCCAAAAAATTCCTTCTGTACTCCTACCAAGTCTTTGTCTTCAGCTTTTTTTTTTAGTTGAGGCTCTGTGGATTCTTAACTGTTTATGCCAGGTGCCTGCATAATTCACAGGGCCACAAATGAAGTAAACATCCATAAGTGTAATAAATATAATTCCTTTTATTTACTGTGCATGGATTGATCTATGTTCTGTCTTTAAACTAGCAGTGATGAGGGGTTGGTTTTTATTCACTTATGCATAAAGGAGATTTTACATTGCTGTATGAAAAACTATTTGCTTTCTTTGTATTGCCAAACGTAGTGTGCTCATTTTATCTTTGTCTTATTTGTGTGACTGCCCTCCACAGTCATGGCATGTACTCCTGTTAAGTGGAGTTTGGTTTGTACTTTTCTAATGCCTCACATAAGAAAATTTGTCCTTCCCACCCACTCAGAGTTGTCCAGCTCACTATGGACCTTGGACAAGTCTCTTCATTCCTGCGTTCTCTATCTACAAAATAGGAATAATCATGATGCATTGCTTTTGACTGGTAAAATGCTTTGAACTTCTCAGGAAGAATGGGTTGTAAAAGAGTCTAAGCATTCCTTCCTTCTTCCATGAACAGTAAATCAGCAACTGCCAGCGAGCTGGGTTACTATATATACACTTTTCAGGAATCCTTCCAGAATCGCTCCATTTCCCCTCTATTGTGTTTCAAGAAATGTGCAACTCATCTAGATTAGGCAGTTGAGAAGCATCCCTTTCCATAGGCTGTTAACACCCCTTCTGCAAAAAAACCCTATATGAGAATTTTTCTCTCTAAGGGAAATTACTATGATACTTCTACCAAAGTTTCTTTCAGAGCACAGAGCTTTCTAGCTCTGGATGACCGTTTTTTGTTGGAATAGCTAATAGTTTCTAGCGTGCCTAAAGTCTGTAGGAGTTTTGGAGTCTGTTCTTAACATATCCTTGATTTTCTGCTGTGACTCTGAAGTCAAGTCTTTCCAGTAAGCCTTCTATGGTTGGCTTGTTGAGATAGTGACCAGTAATTAGTCTTACTCCGAATACAAAAGATGTAAAGCAGACTGATCTTAATAATGGTGTATTTTCCTATGTGTATGTTAAGGAGATCATCAGGTTTAATAGTGTTGGAGGGGCAGGATTGTTTTGGGAAGCCTTATAAATGCAAATATTTTGGTTGCTTTGTCTCCCTGTTAGGCGATTCAGAAAAATATGAATTGTAAGAGGTTTCTTTTTCTGTACTTTGCTTTCATTTGTATGAAACAATAATTTGGCATATAATAGGCAAAATGGAATCCAGACTTTGTTTTATTCAGAGAAGCATTTTTAGTGGCCGCATTTGCTTACCTGGGTTTTACTTGAGAAGTGAAAATTTCTAAGCTGGGCAAGAAACTATGAGCGCTCAAAGCTAATGGTGGTGTTTGTGCTAGACAAGACACAGTTCAGTGAGATGCAGTGTGCACCTTCATTGTCTGAATGCTAGCAAGCAAAATTGACACCATATGTGCCCAACTGTAATTGCTCCAAGAGGGGAAAAGAGAAACATGTCAGAACATTTGAGTAACACCTAATTCAGCCCATGGTTATAAATAAAGCTGATGGTTGCTCAAAAACAAAAGTAGGAAAATATTATGGTTATATTATTCCTCAACAGCGCTTCCTACATAGGTGAACTTTATTACAGAGACAACACAAGTGAAAAGAAACATATAACAACTTTTTATGGTATTTTTATGTTATTTTATTTTTTTCGCAGTAAATAAAGTGGTTATGAGGCTCCAAGGAAAACGGCCCAGATGTTAGTGAGTTGTATGAAATTTAGTGGAAACAAGCTGTAAAAAACATAGTCATAAAACAGCCTGTCAATGCCACACATCTGGACAATGCAGCTGTATGTTCCCGCTGCTGTCATCACCCTAAGAAAACTCAATAGCCTTATTTCACCCCAATTAGGCTGCATACCAACGGAATCAGAATTACACAGGGAGGGGGTGTATTTTCACCAAGACAGACCCTCTCAAATTCCCTTCAAGAAGTTTTTATCTTTCATTCAGGGCTACTGCCTCAGACACTAGTCACTTTGTAAACAGTACACCAAACTATTCCCCTTGATTTGCTATCTGTTAAATGCTTTTTAATTTATTGCTTTATAATAAGTAGTTGCTTAATGTTGCTTCTTTGTTTAAAACCTAAAAAAAATGGCATTTTACTGTGAGAATCGTGTGTCTGATGACCCTTACATAAATCATAGAAGGTTTCTCCATTGTAGTTTTATCTCATACTATAGCAGTTATAACTTCATTTGGTGTCTTAGGAACCAAAGAATAGCTATACGTTTTACTGATATGCTGTTTTTCTGAAACTGTGGCCATTTTGACCAACGCATTGTACGATGTGAGATAGCACTTCCTCATTTCAGCATGCAAAATATGTGTCAAATGCAATATTAAAATTATATAAGTAATAGTTTTTTGGGTTTTTTTTCCCCTGCAGGTGATAGAAGTAGCCAAAGCCATTCTGGATAGTGGTGAAGAAATTCCTGTAACACTAACTGGAAAGCTGTTGAAATTTCAACTGCTTTGTCTCAAACAGAAGGAACTGCAGAGAAGAGAAGCTGAAAAGAAGGTACTATAGTATGCCTTAGGGAGGACGCTTAATTAACTTTATGAAGACACTTCCATTCTGGTGCTGTTTGCATAAATTCAGCTTTGTCCTCATGCTTAACTTCCTAGATCTATAATTGAAGAGAAGTGTGAATAAAATTTATCTTTTTAAGTTAATTAGATTAGATTGGAGAAGCAGCTCTCAATTACTCAAATGCAGGTGAGACAGGGAAAAAAAAAAGAAAAGAAAAAATATTGTCCAAGAACTCTTTGCTAGAGTAATAAGTAGTAATGTCTTAGCTGAGCCTTAGAACCAATAGAAAATAGAACTGGCTTCAGCTGAGTATATCTCTGCTGAAGTAAAGATAGGACAGGTTATTACTTGAGAGGTATCAAGGATAGATGCAGAACAGCAGTATGAAGAAGTTGTTATTATGAATCACCTCTCTGGGGGAAATTTGGAGAAGTTATCTATGCCATCCTCTGGCACTAAAGCAGGATAAAATATACATAAACTATTCCTGGCAGATGTTTGTTGAACCTGTTCTAAAAACCTTCCACTGCTGTGCTTTCACTTCTCTGCGGCAATCAGTGTTACTGCTCAGCTATCTCTGCAACATAGCCATTTGGAAAAGGTTTCTAACCTTGTCGACCCTGCTCACATTTAAACCTGTTACTGCTTCGCTTCTCACTGTGTACGGGGACAACAGCTCTTACCCTTCATTCTGCAGAAATCTATTACATGTTTAACTAAACAAACCCAAATATATGCCATGGTTTCTAGCTTTTGATTATGCTTGTTCCTCTCCTCCGAACTCTCTCCAAACAGTTCACATCTTGAAGTCTGCTTCTCAGAACCGAGTACCACATTTTCCAGTGTTCCTATGACTCGCTTCCACGTATTCTCCAAGATCCTCGCTACTAGCTCCAAGATTGCTTCAGTCAGATTGCTGATGTGTTCTAGGAGGAATTTCACCAAGCTTGCACAGCATCACAATCAGATCAGACCTCTAATTGCTTTCTAACATCTGTAATTAAAAAAAAATGTTGTCAGTACATTTCAACAACTTGCTGAACGGTTGGTCTTTGCTATACTCCTTTTCCAGCAAACATTCATGCGACTGAAGACCATTACCAGAAAGTCATATAATTGCTGCAATAGTTTACCCTGTTAATTGATCAAAAACTATAACGTAAAATGTGATGACATGGAGACCTAAGCAGTCTATGCATGTAAAAGATGCAAGAAGAAAATGTTTTCGTGAATTTTGTGTGGTTGAAAAGTATGTAACTTTCTCTATCAATAATGCTATTTGTAGGAATAATTGGTGGGTGAAGTATAGGACACAAGCACAAGAACATTATATGCTAGGTGGTAAATTAAAGTTGTGTCCTGTTCCCATACAAGTCAATTACAAAACTGATTAGCAAATTATAATATAAGCCACAGAAATATATAAAGAATCTGAGAAAAAAAAAAGTGTTTTCAATCTGAAGAGAAATCAAGAGGCTGAAGCTATAGAGCAGATTTTTTGTAATGAATGGAGAAAAAAAAAGACTTTTCTGTTAGATATCACTCAGTGCTGATAATTAAACTGTAAATGAAAAATTTGAAATTTAAAAATTAGGCACTTCAATATTAAAATGGAGCCTTTAGCTTTGATTTGGCAAGATGACTGTTGTAAGTATAATTTTATTTCCCTGGATAATCTGAGGATAGTCAGTATTGAAGGCTGAAGAATCTCTGGAACTTACAATGTCTTCTCTTTTAGCCGAGCAATCTGGTCAAAGTTGTCATCTCCTCTGGATTATATCTATATCAAAGCATGACAGGCAAACGTGAGAGCAGCAGTTGAAGGACAAAGACAGAGTCAAGAACCGGAAGGGCTCTTGGCTGTGAGGATGCTCTGCAGTACAGAACGGGCAGAAACTGCTTTTAATTTAAAATTCTAACTAAATTGTCTGACATAAAATTTTTAGTCCTTTCCAACTAGCTTGTACAGTACAAGTTCCATTGCCAACAACTCAGGGGTTGAAACAAGGATTTTACTAGCAGATCAGTTCTCAGAAAGCCAACATAACTGTCCATTGTTTTTTAGAATAGACATCAATTAATACAATGGATTGGCAGAAGAAAAACAGCAAGGGAATAAACAAAAATAAACCATTACGAAATTTCTTTATTTCAGTAGGAACAGAAGCTTATCATAAATTGACAGGTGTATGCATTTGAACTAATATGCAGAAGAGGTGTCTCTGAATTAGAGAACTGTTTGAGGTAGTAAGATTCTGTAATATGAAGCTTAAAATAACAAAATTACAGACTGTAAAGCTAATGGAAGATTAGAAGCTCCACAAAAAGCTGCACCAGGGAAAAGGAAAGAGTCCTAGAAAGGAGAGGCTTTTACTTTCTGAGGTGTTAAGGTCAGCTAGCATTCCTTGTTGGAATATTGGCAAGTTCAGAAATGTCTCGCTTATTTGAGACTTAATTACATAAAATGATGCAGATGCGATAGATAAAGCTGATGGTGAACTTTGTAGCCTGATGATTGTATCATCCGTTTTGATGTGTTCATCGGCTTACAATCAAAGTAGTGTTATCAAAATCATTGGTTTGAAATATCCAGAGTGGAAAAGATTTGAAAGAAAATAATGAAAGCATCCAAATCCCCCATTTCACAGCACACATAGTTCTAAGAATCTCTTGAAGGCATTTTTAAATTTTACAGAAAGGGAATGCATGAAGAAGGGAAAGCAGGGAAAGATTTTTCTGCTTTGGTTTTGAATTTGAACTAAACACAACTTCTACAGCTGGAAAGTCTGCTTTTCCAGCTGAATCTAGGGAAAGCAGCTGTGTAGTCAACTGCCCTATCTCGTTTGCATGGAGAACTTTTCTCATTGCTTTAATAGCCTTTAAAGTGACACCAGCAGGATGGTAACAGTAAGTTAAGTTAATATAGTTTTATGGTATTTAGTTTAGCTTTACAATCCTTAAATGTCATTCTTGCATAGTTAGTGTGTAGTCCTGCTGCTGGGCAGAAATAAGGTGGAGGTTTTCTTGCTCTTACAGCACCTCGCTTTACCTTAATATATTTTTGATTATTTTAATTTTAGGCTGACTCTGAGCTTTCTGGATTTATAGTGTGAGGCTTTGGGATACTTGCAAAATCTTTTTTCATTCTTCACTCTTAAATTACTGAGTAGAACTTAATGTAGGTGTTTTTGTTTGAAAATAATGAGAATGGCTGAGTAATATCCTGTGTGAAATGAACACAAGACTCTTGGTTCTAGTTTATAGTAGACAGATATTTACATCAAAGAAAAATAGTGCTGGTACCATTTTACACCATACTCAAGAGTGTTAACAGAGATGCTAAAGACTTAACAGAAATTGAATTTTTTGTCTTATTTCCCTTCAGTCCAGGGAAGGTTTCTGGCTGATGCAAGTGCTGTAGCAGCAGTAACTAAAGCACAGTGATTCTTTACTCGTCTTTCTGCCAGTATGCATTTCATTAGTTTTGTAGGTATAATGTCTACCTACCTCTCTCTGTTCCTTTTTAATGTGAAGTCTTAACACTATGATTTAGTAAGAATATAATAAACTGAATGGCGTGTTTGAGAAGGATAAAGCAGAGTGTTCAGGATGGCTTCACCACATCAACATTATAGTGGCTGAGAAGGAAAAGTATTCAAATAAAAAAATTGAACCACTAAAATTTTACAGCAGTCTGCCCTTTGTTCTGCACGAAGGCTACAGTGAGAACTTAGTTTATTCATCTTGTCAGGCAGAAGAAGAGCAACAACAGGAAAAAGATGGAGACCTCCCGGCAAGAAGGAGAGCCTCCCCAGTGCCAAGACAGCTGAGAAAGAAAGGAAAGGCAAAAAGACAGAAGGAGGCCCTCTAGCACCAGTCACTGTTAAAAAGGACACCCAACTGAAGCGACGGGGAGACGCAGAAGAGGAAGTCAAATACATCGGTATGTAAAAAATGTAGATATACTCTTGAAAAACTTGCTGGAAATCTTGCAGCCTAGCTTCTAACCGAGTACTTTGTTTTGTTCCATGTTGAGCAGTGAAGATTTATTTGGCAACATTAAAGCATTGCCACTTTGCATTTGAAGAGGGCACTGTGTTCTGCTCAGTATTAGGATAGATTGTACAGTCCAAGAAATAAAATACAGATGAGGCCTATGTAGCATGTCGACATCAAAATGTTTTAGCATGTGTAAGACTAAAAGAAAGTGGCTAAACAAATCCTGCAGGAAACCTTTCTTACAGAAGGATTTCAGAATAACTAAACACATTTGTGTCAGTATCCAAAGGCGGCTTTCTCCTTGTATTATAAAGTATAACAGAGAGCCTGCCATTGTCTGGGGATGAAGCCAGGTTCTGTACAAAGGGCAGTATGATTTAATTTAACATGTGGATAGACCTGAGACCTGAAGAAATCTACTCCAGAAATGAGCTATACAAGGTAAGGAATAATATGCTAACTAGTGCTGAGAAAACCTTTATTCTTAATACATAACACCCATGGTTACAAATTTCGCTGGAACAAAAAATATTGGAGAATGTGCATAGCTCTCCTCATTAGATCACAGTTGTATTTAATTTGGACCATATTATGTTTGAGCTACATCAACATAAACAGAATCTCTCCTGCTGGAGAAGCACTTGCTGATTTTTGGATGCTTTATGTGTACCTGCTATTCCCTAGTTGAACTGCTGCAGGCTTTCCTCACTCTTTCATCAGACCTTTGTCTGCATCTCATTTGAGATCAATGGCACTCTTCAGGCATCTAAAAAGCATTGGTCCAGGTGTTTAGAGCAAATCTTGAATCTTAATGAAGCTGACAAAAGTCCGCAAGAACAGAACACTAGCTATCTGTGCACAGCTCCTCAGTTTTTCAGCTGAGGCTTGGCTGTAACATCATTCTTTTGATAATTTTAAGGTTTTTCAGGGCCTGAAAGAAGTTTTCAAAGAAACATTCATGCCTTTAAGAATCCAAGCTGAAGCGATGTAGAGAACTCATGTCATCTTACTAAAATTTGTACAGAATGTACAGTACCGAGTGGCTTTGGGTGGGTATTAATGTGCTTCCACTCGGCCCCGTGGAAGCAATTTTAGCAGCTCCAACATTTTTACTCCCTACTGCCTTGAGAGGTGGGCAGAAAACTTCAGGTACCTGTATAAGATGCCCATGCTTTGCTGCCTTGTTAGTCACAGCTAATGAGAAGACAAAGTAAGGAAAATATAAATTGCCTCCAAAAACTAACAAGCATGAAAAGTATCCTTCTTTAGTATGCTTAGTAACTTTATATATACTACTACTATTTATAACTACTAGCATTGCTGTTAAACTATTATTTTATTGACTGGGATTTGTCTCATTAGTCCCAAGGATATTTACGAAACAGCAATAGTCGCAGATTGCCTCAAAGGAGAAGCTGTTGAGGTATTTTGCGCTTGGTCGCCTGTGCTGTATTTAATTTTACAGTCATGACTGTGCTGAGCTGAAGCCATTCTGAACAATTTACCACATTCATTGTGCATCCACACAGTTGGGCTTAATAATAAACAAATTGGTTCTGACTCATACAAAAAAAAATTGTATTCAGTGGATTGATTTCCAGTCTGAAGACAATAAGGAACTACCTAACAACGGAAAAGGTAATCTGAGCTTGCTGCTTCCTTTAGTCGTACTGAGGAAGACAGCGAGGAGGAACCGGTAGCCCTAGGAAGGGACAGCACCCCGCAAACCCTTCACCCTAGGCTACAGGAAAAACACAGCTGTTGTTTTATGGAGAGGTAATTGTTTCTTCATTCTTCCTGACAGTTCCACCCAGAAGTCCGTACCAAGAGAAAATTAAGTCAAGTATTGCCAAAATTTCTGGAGACCATTCTAAATTAACATTGAGTGTGGTGAAACAACGGTGTCAGGAATTTCTCTCTTTCCTCGAGAACATGGCAATTAAGGTTCTCAGAGACCTCATGCAAAAGCTTTGTCTTGGGACAAAGTGGCGCCAGCTCCATTTCTCAGTGTCAAGATCATGTAGATCTATGAAACTTTTCTACCAAGAATGTAGTACTTTAAAAATCCTCATGCATATTCCATATTTTCCAAGAGCCTGAGCAGAAGACATGAAGAACCTTGGATGATCCTTAAAGCTGATACAATAGAAATTTTTTTCAGCACTCTTGGCCACTCTAATATAGCTGTATCAAGTGGGAAAAAAAAAAAAAAAAAAGAGAAAAATGCCACAGTTTTTACTCGAGAGTAGTCTGAGCTACTGCTTATATATGACCATGTCTTGAACTCAAAGACAATCTGTATCTGTTTCTAGTAGTTAACAGTCATTTTATCATTCATCCCTAGTACATTATCACCTTTCTGAAATGGAATATTTCTGCTTTTGAGTAACCTTGAGATTACTTGCATTGATGTCTTTCATCATTTAAGTATGAACTAGTCACTGATTATTACAGCTGACTGATTGTTATCAACTTGTCATGATTATTAGCATAATCATAACTGTTGAATGGCAGGCAGTCGTTCTTCTCAGCATTGGGATTTTTGGGTCTCTGTGAGTCACTATGCAGACATCTGTCTTTTTTGTTAGAAATCATTAATGCTCAGTAATTGTACATGCTCATGCTTTTTCTTCCTGCAGTAACTGAGGCATCAAGGTATGTAGTTCAGTTTCAGTACTAGCAGTACTAGCAGTGATAGACTAGATAGTGGACTAGTTTTCTTCTGGTTTTGATTTTGCTTTATGCAATATATGTACTGGACTGCGGTGGCTGCTTCCTCAGTCAGTCTTTCTCCAAATTCCTCAGTTCTTTTATGTTTGCCTAATGTTACAAGAAGAGGCGAGACAACCGTGTTGCCAGCCTGCTGCTCCAGCGTTTGCGCAGCCCTGGCTACGTACCTGAGCACAGGCAGATGTCAGCGCCAGGCTACCTTTTTTTCCTGCCTTTTTTTCTCCCATGGATGAATGAGTCCCGTAAGCTGAGGAGTGGCCAAAGGACTTTTAAGGGTGTTGTGTTAGTAGGCATAAGATAGAATTTTAATGCTAAATAGAGTATAAAACTGTGTTTTGTTGTTAGTGCAGGATCTGCATTAATTGTATGCGTTCCATAGTCGATGGAGAGATACAGGAACTTCAGCAGGCAGTTTCTGTTGTTTTAGGATAAATAACCATGTTGGATTAATTAGATCACTGGATACCTGTCTGAATACCTGTATTTCTGCACGGACCGTAAAGGAAATCTACACAATTAGCTTCAAATAGAGTCAAGCTTCTAGAGGGATCGTTTTTACTTACATAATGCTTAACCTTTTGCTTTGGTACTGAAATGTGTTGCATATTCCTACAGAAGTAATAAGCCCAAACAGAGCAGGCGCTCAATGAAACCTCTCATCTGTACTTTAGGATGAATTTGGATATGCCCCTTGCCAACTAAAAGGACTAATGTGAGCTGGTATCACCAGCTGAGGAGGGTTTTGACAGGGAGTCTGCCTAGGAAACATGAACCTGTTGGGCAGGGAGCAGTCAGCAGTGAGTCAGCTCATACCTGCAGCTAATCCTTCAAAACTGTTACAGCTAATATCATCTCTCAGCTAAGACACGATAACTTATTCTGTGTGTGCTCCCTGGCCAGCTTTATGCAGGATGAATTAGGATAGCGTAAACTACCGTTAGAGCATGTGAGTATGTCCTGGCACTAAACTCCTTCTTAAAGAGAAGCAATTACAGAAATGCTGCTACAGCTGGCATTCTGGTTATAATCAGCTTCTCCAATTTTTCTCCTGGTGCTTCTCCACAAACAAGTTTTACTTCTGACTTGTACTCTTCCTGC